GTCGAAACTAGTTTCTCTAATATCAGACTTCCGACAGTTTGTTCCGTTTACTGTGGTTTTTCACTAAGAAAGCATTCATTTAAACACCTAGTTTTTATATAATTGGTAAGTATTTTTACAGTTTGAAAATTACGCATTTGTAGTTTAACAGGTATATTTTATTCTGTTTTATTTCATTTTAACGCCTTTGCTTCAAATATTAAAAGTTTTGTTCGCGGCCTTTGATAATGGTTAGCTTCTCTGTCGTTATTTTTATATTACAGAGTTCTCGCCTTTTCACTCCATGTTACTGTTACCATCTTTTCTGTCGAATATGACCTAGGTTCGAGACTAACAAATTGATAAAGGGGTACATTTAAGTAGAATCTCTATCTTTCCAAAGACTACCTTTGAAAAATCCTATTTTTATTTGTAATGCTAACCATTTAGACATAATAAAACATATAAGTTGCCGTTGAAATATCTCTTCCCTTGGTTATTTATTAATAGCGAATATAATACTACTTCCTGCCTTACGCAGTATGATACAAAATGTCCTGAGTATTGTAGCAATTATTAAAAACAAAGAATAAATCTATATTATACGACGTTCAGAATATTTAGTTTTTCTGTGTTATTGCAGTATTTTGATAACGCTTGTTTGTTTGTTTATCGTTAAGTGCAAAGTTACCCAATGGGCTATCTGCGCTTTGCCCACCACGGTTATCAAACCCGGTCTTTAGCGTTATAAGCCCACAAACTTTATTGCTGAACCACCTGAGGGGGGAGCAGATGACTTGCAGACTGCTATTCAAAAATGTCCATGGACCCCAATGTTCAAATAACACTAAATCATAAACTATGATTAAAATCCCCATAAGATTACATTTTAGCCACAGTTAAACTATTATTACATTTATCCACAGTTAAACTATGGTTAAAATAACAATATGATTACATTTATCCACAGTTAAACTATGGTTAAAACATCAATAAGATTACATTTAGCCAACGTTAAGCTATGGTTAAAACACCAATGGCCCGGCATGGCCTGGTGGTTAAGGCGCTCGACTCGCAATCTGAGAGTCATGGGTTCGAATACCTGTCCCACCATACATGTTCGCCCTTTCAGCCGTGGGGGCGTTATAATGTGACAGTCACTCCCACTATTCGTTGGTAAAAGAGTAGCCCAAGAGTTGGCGGTGTGTGGTGATGACTAGCTGCCTTCCCTCTAGTCTTTCACTCCTAAATTAGGGACAACTAGCGCAGATAGCCCTCGTGTAGCTTTGCACGAAATTAAAAAAAAAACTAAAACAAAACACCAATATGATTACATCTATCATCGGTTAAATTATGGTTAAAACACAAATAAGATTACACAGTTAAAGGATGGTTATATTTCTTTAAAACAGACGTGTTATAAAAACAATTATTCTAAATAACCTAAAACGAGGACGTCTATAAAATATGATAAAATTCCCATCATTATCACGGATATTTTAAAACAATGCATATTTTTGTATAAAATAACAACAAATACCTTATTAATATGACAGAGCTTAACTATAAGCTTTTAAGTAGTCTACTGTGATGTTTAGTGGGACACATGACTTTACCTTCATTTTAATAATGAAGAAACATAGCATACAGAAAAATCATGTTAAACATACAAGAGTAAACACACCTGGATAAAATACCAACGTTTGAAGTATTATGGGTTGTATGTAAAAACGCTGTCTCTGATCGTTTTTTAAACTTCGTTTTTCTTTGCAATATAAATTATTAATACGCTTTAGTTCAACTTTGATAAAGTATGCATGTTCAAATTTCTATTTATTCATTATAAGTTACAAACTAAAGTTGAATAAAGGAAAAATATTTTTCTATATTAGCAGCATCTTATGCCCAGGTCAGAGACTCCTAGGATTCAGGTATAGTTGACCCCAATTTTGAACTACTGGTCAGAGGGAAAGTAGTCAACCAGCATCATCTACCGCCACAAGGGCTCTTTGACTGGAATTGGCCGTAACTTTATTTATTGTGCTCACAGCTTAAAACATGGAAAATGTCCAAAGGCATCACGCTTTGAACTGTCGATCCACAGACCGACAGGCTAATCAATAATTCAAGATTGATTTTTCAAGAGAATATTTGAAAACCTTTTTTTTTTTTTCAATAGAGAAAAATGCGTATATTTTTCACTATCAGTATTATAAAATGATAAAGTTCAAATAAGGTAACTGCACATCAAATAAGACGTCTTAGCGTGTTACTTTCAACCAGATTATGTATTTTTTTGATGCAACTGAGGCTTGAAGAAGATTATAAGCATCCGAAAATTTATCCTTTCATAAAAAACATACATCAAATTAATTCAAGATCATAAGGCGTATAAAGTGTGAAGTTGAGGCAAATGGAACAGAGCATGAATTATACATTAATTATAACAACAGAGGCAAGTTACACCTATACACACATATATTGAAAGTATATGAAGAGCTGTAGAAGAAAACAAACCATTTTATTTAGTTAGCAGTTAAGAGAGTACGTTTTCTTCTTCTCTTCTTTGTCACTTATGAGGAACAACTAAGTTCTAATTAAGTGTTTAAAATTATTTAATATGTTCGTTTTTCTGTCCCATTAATGGCGTTTGATTTAAACCAGTAAGGTGCATGTTTGTTTTATTTTTTCAACTTTTTTTTGAAAGAGGGGTGTATTAACTGGGCTGTACGTAAGGAGCGGTTATATTCTGTCATGCACCTCAGCGGCACAGTGGTATGTCTGCGGACTTACAACGCTATTAATAGGGTTTCGATACCCGTGGTGGGCAGGGCACAGATAGCCCATTGTGTAGCTTGGTGTTTAACTTCAAACAAACAAAGAATATTCTGTCATGTCATATGGAGTTGTAGTTTGTCACGAAATTTATCAGGCTCGTTAAGCACTGAGCCAAACAATGTTACGTGCATTCAAACATTGATGGGTGGGGGTGAGTGTTAGATGCACCTATATGAGCCAACGAAACAAAAGAATATTCACATACTTACTGATAACACAGCTTCCAGTATACTTTCGGCTTCCACTAACGGCTGAATGTGTGGGTGCTTAAGGAGATCCTCGAGGCTGTCGATCACATTAATGTCTTCCTTGACCATTAGTGACGACTCCAGGTGGCCACTGAAACTGCTCATCAGCATGAAAACGGCAAAAAGCCAGGAAGAGAGTACCAATCTGTTGATCTTCTTCTCCTCCATCTCGGAAAGACCTTTGCAGACCAATAAATACGTAATTAAGTAGGTCCAGCCAATCTTAAGTTTGGACCTGGCTGAAATAACTACTTTTTTATAAATACGTCGGTCATCCAAAGCACCAAAAACTAACTTAACTTAACTTAACAGATATTATGTTGAGCATTAGTTATATATATATATATGTAATGTATATTATTTACAAGTTATACGAGTAAAGACGTGAATCTTACGTTATATGGAACTCACGTGCATAAATAAAATATTTTCTTCTGAGGATCTCCACGGTAGCTAAAATCTATATTTTATTAAATGTATATATGTGTACAGAGGTTGAGTACATTACAATAAAATCGATTTTGGAGTATCTCCATGTCGTTACAGTTCATGCCTCCACGTCCTGTCATTGCTATATCTGACAACAACTCGACAGCATAGTCTTTATTCAAAAAGGCTCCATCGTAAGGCTTTCATGTCCAAAGCACATCCCTCCACCCTGAATTTTTCCCATAGGCTATCTAGTGTACGAGGACGATAATTTTCCAGATCTCATTTCAACAGTCCGATCACGCAGAAATCCATAGACATTGCGTCTAGCAACTTGAACAGTATGTTTTCGCGTGAATATCCATTTATTTATCCAGCTACTTGAGATATGAAACGGTTGAACAGATATGTCGTGTAAAAAACTTGTGTCGGTTTTCCAGACAGAGATAATTTTTCATTATGTTGCATACTGTTGCCTGGTATACGTGGACGGCTTTTGCCCCTTATCTTTAGGTTTTTGTTTTTTTGGTTTGTTTATTTCTTGTATTCACACAATATTGTTATATAAAGTGTTGAATATTCGTCTATACGCTTTTGATGTAGAAATATAAAATTATTTCTCTTCATTTACACACACACATATATACATGTATATATATATATTAATACAATCATATCGAAGGTCCAACTAGTAATTTATCCACTTTTTCTTTTTAGTTTCTTACTTCCCTTTTCTGTCAGTTGATTTCTTTTATTAGCTAATTCAAACAAAGTCACAACTTCTGAAAAGCTAGATAATCATTCGCTCGAATAATGTATACGTATATATCTGTCTGTCTGTCTGTGTTTATCTATTTATCTAGTTAAACTTTGTTACGTCACTTATGGTTCCCGAGTGAGTCACCTTTAAACTTGAGGGCTGTAGCTCCAAAATGTGGGTTAGATCTTCGCGACTGACATATCGCAGACAGCCCATACTGTGGACGATGAATCATAGCAGCAGTTTACTGAAATTTAGGCTTAAAAACTCACATAGGTTTTTAATTATATTTCGGATGTGAGGCTTGGGATTAGAAGTTAAATTTGTTAGACGGTGCATTCCCACTGCAGTGATGGTCCTATATTATCAGAGACCTCTCCTATACAGGTACATTCTACCGTTTCCATTGTGCAGCTTGTTCTCTAGATTTAATTGTCTCTCAGATATGTATGATCAGACACATTAGGTTATTTAAAAAAATTATGATAAATAAAATAAAGTCTTGTTTTACACACACCTTGATAGAGATGTAGCTTGCAGAAGGACCACAGGTTCCTTAAAGCTAAAGACATCCAGTTTGAGCGTGAATATCTTTTTTCATTCATTTTTAGAAAGCTGACAGAGATAACCACCAGTACCAGGAGAGTCATCAATGAACATAACCATACCTAAAATAAAATATGCTTTTCAGAAAAAAAAATTAAGATAACTTATGAAGAACTCTTTCCTTTATTCGTTGTTAATTTTTTTTCTACACATAAATACATTGTCCGGACAAATATTACTTGTACCGAAACCATTCTTAATTTCATTTCATTAAAACATTTATTAGTTTCATCAGCTTGGCTGTTACACAATGGGTCAACAGTAAGTTTCTGGATTCACAACGCCAAAATTTGGGGCTCTATTTCTCGTGATGGACAGGGTGTAGATAGCCCATTCTGGAGCTTTGCGCTGAAAAAACAACACACCACCCTTAGTCTGTGTTTAATGGCTAGTGTGTTTGAAATGAACGTTTATAAAAATATTAAATTTCAAAAATACAAAGTGACCCAAAGTTAAATAGATGTAAGAAATTTTGTTAGTAAAGTTTTATGCGAATTGTAAGTAATAAATAATACTAAATAAGGTTTTTTAGTATTTTGCTTAGAATTAGTTATTTCTTTAAACAAACAGTAATGCTGCAGATGTGTAATATTAACACAATTCAGTGATTTATTAAAATATACAAAATAATCAAGAATATCCATGTGAAAAATCAAGTTGTATGACATTTCATTTTTTTTTGACATAATTAATTAATCACTAGCTGCGACCCGCAAAACTCTTGCGGTAGTTTTTAAGCCCTTCTCTTGAATTTTCTTTATTCTATCATTTTCACGCACGCCATTTAAACTTCGCCTTCTTGGAGGCATTATGTGTTAGATGGATAATTTTCTGGTCTATTTGAAAAAACTTTACGTAGACAGACAAACAAACTCACGTAGACGTAACTTGATTTAAAAAAACTACACGTACGTAGCTTTATTTTAGTAAAGGCTAACAGTATAGTAATGATACAGAGTAAGAAACAGTTATGAGCGTTCAGTGTATGACACGGTTTTATGAGATGAAACAAAGGAAACTCACAAAAAACAAAGAATAAAACCCGTAGTAAAAAAACAAAAACAACTAGTTAAAATGTATTTATAGCAGTCTATGAAACTAACCGAAGCTAAATCTTTGCAAAGTAATGTAAACGTAAAGTTGTAATGAATGAAAACTTAGCTGTATGTGCAGAAACGTCTGAATACGTGTTCACAAAGTGATAAATATATCGTTTTGAACGAACTGCACATGCGTATTTTAGACCTAAATAAGTCGAGAAAGCCCATATAAATTGTATTTAGTGTAATGTTCTTGTTGTTGTTTTTTTTTTTAATTACACGCGAGTGTTCTTTGTGTGAAATATTTTGCAAATACAAAAACTAGAGTTGAAGTCGAAGCCAGTCGTCACTTAGTGACAATGACATTGTGTCATCGTGTAGCATATCGTTGCATTAAAAAGTTTGACTAAACAAAAAACATGTAAGATAATTTTGACTGGAAAAGCCAGTATGAAATCTGGACTCCTCGGACAAAGGCCTTGCTAACGATATGGGATTTGTAGCGTTTGATCCAGCAATTTGCGAAAAAGTTCTGGACAGACAAATGCAAGCGTATTATATATAGAGAGAATTTTAGTGGTGGATTTTCAACTCACTGTGTTGTAGGCTACCCAGTACAAGATTATGAAGGATGAGCCAACAAAATGAAAACATATGCATAAAAATTAAATTAACGAATTCAATATTCTTATATTAATAATATCATTTGGGCAGTAACGTATTTTATTATTCTACACAGTGGCTCCAATCATCTGATTTTTGTTTCGAGCATGTTCAAGTACAAAAACTCAGCACATTTAATGATACCTCTTTTGTAAAAACTAAAGAACATTACAAGGGTAGCAAAGGCTGATATTAAGTTATAGGTAACATGATTCTATTTTTCAGAATTGTATTCTTCTATAGAAATAATCTAACTTTATTCCCACTGCCCTGAAAACATTCTTATAAACGTTTTATGTATTAGATTACTCACTAGCATGCATATCCTAAAACCAATCAAGACAGAAACTCCAAATATTGCAATAATAATAAGAGGTATTTGATTCATTTTACAGACCATGAGTTCAATTTATCAACAAGATGTAAATCACACACACAAAAAGATAAAACTCTAGTGCTTTAGATAGGTAGACCTGTCTTTTTCCGGGTAAAAGGCAACGATAAGATCTTAGCGTTTTCGAAGGGTAAACTTATCTTCTTCAGACGTAAAGGTAAAGATATAACGCTCTTTTGGAATAATGGCAAGACTTTTACCCTTGAAAACGATAAAACCATCTGTCTAAAGCGCTAACGTTTTATCATGGTTTACACAACTTTTTGGTCCTTCAAAAGTTTGTTTCTAATTAAGCACAAAGCTACACAATAGGCTATCTGTGCTCTGCCAACCACGAGTATCGAAACCCGGTTTCTAGCGTTGTAAGTCCGCAGACATACTGGGAGACACCCCTTCAAAAGTTCTTATTTGATTTTTATTAAGCACAAAACTACACAATGGGCTATTTGGGCTTTGTCCACCATTTATATTGAAACCTGGTTTTTAGCGTTATTGGTATTTCGACTTTCCGCTGGGCCACTGGGGGCTTATTTTTTTAGTGTCATGAATCAATAAAGTATATTTAAATAGTCAAAAAATAACAACATTTTTGGGACATTCTGTACGATCTTGATAACAAAAATCTAAAAATATACATATATTATTGCGACATTAGTCCACTGACCTCCCAAGCATAACTTAACAAGTACTTAAAGAACTTTGCTGTTTGTTGTGGTGGTCCTGTCAACACACATAACTGGCCAGTGTAAAAAGTGTTTGTCATTTCCGTCGCTTGGTAGCGATCATAATTGATGGTGAAAGAACCTAAAGCAATGTCCGCCTCCTAAGAAAAAGAGAGAGAGAAGGAAGTATAAAAACTGTATACTTTTTTAATATTGAAAATGCTATTTTAATTATTGAAATATGGTGATATCTCAAATATTGAAATAGTTCTTAAAAGAAAGCTTATGTCAAACTGTTTATAACTTTAACAATTATTCCGTATATCAGAAGGAAATAATTTAAATTAGATATTTTTAGTAAAACAAATGCTCCACAGAAACGCAATGGGTGTGTTATATGAATCAAAAATTAATTTATGCGCATTTGTCATGGTGCAATAATGTCTTGTGCGTCGAAAGAGTTAGATCCTTTTATATTGTTTTACTAAAATGTTGGATGCCAAAAGCGGAGTACAATTCGCTTATAGCCAATCCAGACCACATGATGGAGATCTATTAAAATGCTAGACACATGTCTATATCAGTTTCATCAAACAAGGTGCTTTCTAAAATATGTGCAATGTGATTATACCTGCTACTTACGTTTTAAAACAATAAAAAAATGGAAATTGGTTGAATTTGTTGAATTGTATTTATGAATATAAGTTAAATGTAATGTTTCTTGAGGTTATAATAAGAACTTCATTAAAGAAAAATCAACACTCTCATTTGATACAACTGTCAGAACAGAAAGCACATATTAATAGTAATAAATGTCTATTTGGCCATGAAAATCTCATCGTGCCCATAGAGGAATCATTCCAAGATCTATTAAAATCTCCAGTTAGCCAATGAAACTTTTCATCAGTCAACATACATTTATTTTTATGTATATATACTAAATTAGACGATCACGAAACTTGAGCAACGCTTGTTAAGAAAGCATTTTTCAACTATTACAAAGCTATACAATGTTGAAAGTGTGACGTGTAATGGTTAAATACTACACAAGGTCTAAAAATATTTTTCGGTAGAAGAAGTGGTGGTTTTTCCTAATTCCAGTTCTTAAAATAACTCGTGAAAAGACGTGTTGTCTGTGTCTTTGTACGCGTATGTGCATTAGTGAAAGTATTTCAGGCAGCTTTAAAGTTGAAAAACATATGAAAATACGTGTGTGTGTGTGCGTGCAAACCGAGATGTGATTTCTGTTGTTTGAGACATTTTGAAATTTTGCTATCTTTTCAAATAAAATAGCAAAAGGATGATTGTTGTAATAACTGAATTTAAACAACAAACGCTCCATAAATCCTAATTTGCGACTGTAGCTCCATCTATTCCCCGAACTTTAAATAAGCTATGCTTCAGTGCTGTTATGTATGCTTCTTCAAGGACTAATGTTAGTTTTTTTTTTCTGTCAAATACTTTTAGTTAACTCGCATCTTTGAGTTTCGTATAAGTCCCGATTCTGTTAATAACACAAGCCTGCGAATTCAAACTTCATAAAAGTTGTTTTAGTTTTAATAACGAATTTTCCATAATTCAGCTACGCAGATTTCGAAAATAATATTATTATTTTTTCTATCACGTAAGAAATTTTTACAAATTGGGAAGAAAAAAATACAACTCTTACTTAGATCAAATTATTATTTCGTTTACCACAATTAACATTTTTTTATTATTATGTTTGTTTACAAAAATACAAACAAACTGAAGAAAAGGGAAAACATTGATGTCAAACGAATATGCATCCTCATTCATCCTGATTTTTTGTGTGAAATCTACGTCTTTTAGTCTCAAAACTACGTGTTGTGGTCTTTGTTTTATGTATTGCGTTATGATGTTTTGTGAAACATCTGTACGTGATGGAGAAAAATGGACATCATTTTCGCATTTAGCGTACAGGAATTATCGTAGAACATGTAAAAATTTCAAGACAATAAAACCATCGCAGGGCTGTGTAATTCATTTGAAAATATATGTTATCTAAAGTTACATATTTCATTATAACTGCAGTATAACAGTTGACGTTGCACTGCAAATAGAATATATAAACACATTCCAGATTACATATGAGCAAGTATGAATCTGTAATAAGTCACTAATCCAAAACGAATACCAAAGTATAACATAAATATACAAAGGTATAAAATTATAAAGTTAAAATAGTTTGAACTAAGTATTTATTAAAATCCATAAAAAAAGAAGTAAAATAAACTCTAACGGGCAATATTAAAGAATCGATATCATCACCATGGAAGTAAATATTTTAACTGATATTTTAAAACGATATCAATCATATGATTATCGTTATCTCTACATCATTTATTTTATATACTTAGTTACAAATGTATTATTCCTACAGATGTAGGCCTCTTTGGATGCTATTTCAGAGGACCACAGATCCTAAAAAACCTCGCAATAGGATACCAGAAAATATTTTAAGATATTGGAGATATTTTTGAATATCTTTTCAACTACTCTGTACCGGATTTTTAACAAGAAGTAACTAATTCATTAAGTTTTTGGATTTTTTCGAAGTTGTTATTAAGAACAAAACTACACAATGATCTATCTGTTCTCTGTGATTTTTATAAAATATTTTAAGACATTGGAGATATTTTTAAATATCTTTTCAACTACTCTGTACCGGATTTTTAACAGCAAGTAAACTAATTCATTAAGTTTTTTGGGGTTTTTTCGAAGTTGTTATTAAGAACAAAACCACACAATGATCTATCTGCTCTCTGGGATTTTTAACGTTACAAGTCCTAAGACTTACCGCTGAGCCACTTACAGCCTTTTTCCAAAGAAAACAAGAGTGTCTCACTTTTAAAAATTAATCAATACAGTTCAAACGTTTACTGACCGGCTCTTACCAAAATGTTTTAGGTTTATTTTGTGGATAATTTCAACTGATTATTTTGCTTACGTTATATTTTGTTATGGTGTGATATGTTTGATTGATTGGTGGATCATTGCAGTTTCACCTTCAGATACGAAGTCATAAAGCTACCAGAGTATTTCAGAATTATGTTTTTTTTTTTATATGCATATGGGGACAGTTTATAAATTTTACACTGTGGCAGCGTGAGTGTACGTAGATATGTATTAATATGATTGTAACAATGAAAAATGAATAATAAAAACGGTTCAGCAATTGAAACTTAAAAGTAGTTGTATGCCAATTATAATTTTTTACCCAAAACTTTACAAGACATTTGTTCTTAGAACATGATTAGTTTTTATTCGTATGGTCTTGTAAGATACGTATTCAATAACTTAAAGGTATCTCTTTCATATACAGTTATAGATAACTCCAATTACCTGTAATATTGATGAACAATCCTAGATCATATGGAAAACAAACAAAAACAGGTAGACAGATACGTATAACTAACCTGTCTGTGCACCATCCCCACCATCCCCGTCCAATTTCCTTTAGGTAGTTTAATACCCCAGTAGTGATCGACAGGCGTCATCAACGTGTAGCTATGCCATTTTTGAGAGGAAAAAAACAAATAGACAGTTTTTTACTCTCACGTCACACACACACACACAACGAGTGCTTTACTCTTATGTTATAAAAGAAAACAACTTTCTTAATGAATGAACTGTTAGAAACAGCAATGTGTTGCGTATAAGACGTATAAACGCTTAACCCTAAAATAACCAAAATGGTTCTAATTCTTTCGGCTTTTTAAACATATTTTTGTAGATTTATGTACGTAATTGCTTGTAGATCTTCGAATCTCTTGGTTACAGGGTTCTTAATATACAAATCTAATAAAGATTTAAAGAAAAATACCATCAATAATTTTTATTTGTAGTTTAGCACACAGCTACACAGTGGGCTATCTGTGCTGTGCCCACCACGGGTATCAATAATGTAATTAATTATCAATCTAAATAATAACTTCTGGGGTTCCTTATGTATTTTCATAGAAAAAAAAGAGTGATTTACCCCTATTTTGGTTAGTTCTTTTACACCTGCTCATGGAATTTGTTATCTCACGTGCACAAGTAAGTCCCATGTTATAAGCTACATCATAGGAAGGCGACAACGGAACACGAGCGTAAGATCCATAGTTTGAACGTTATTTAAACAACTTCGAAACCCTTCTGCCGTGAAAGAATAGAGAAATTGTGTTATAAACACAACGTAAATATACCAAACATATTAAGTGTAACTTTACTCACACAATAAAAAAACGTTGTACCAATATATGTGTAAGAAAGTTGTTTTAAGCTGATTAAAATTAGGCTACTTGGCAATGCACGTGTTCATTTATTGTGAACGATCAATTAATGTGGTTTAGGGGAAGAAAAATTATATAATCTAATAAAACAACTGTTATTTCTGTTTTGGGTCCATTGGTGCGTTATAAGAGTAATGATTAAATCTCATTATTATCTTCGGAGAAATTTAGCCCAAGAGTTGGCGGTGTTGACTAGTTGCATTCCCTCTAGTCTATCACTTCAAAATTAGAAACGGCTAGAGCAGATAGCCCTCGCGTAGATTTGTGTGAAAATCAACAAACAAACAAGCAAATTATGCTATTTCGAGGCAATTCACGGCGTCTCGTTTTATCACAATCTAGCCTTGTTCTGTTCAGTGATGAGAAAATCATTACTGTTTGCACGTATGACTTCTAGATCCCCCTACAATAACCTCGAATAAATCTGTACTTAAAGACTTCAGCTTGAGTCGAATGTGAAGTGGGCGGCAACTGCCTATTATAGAAACACTCGTATAAAATATAATGGTGACTATAAAATTTACTTATGCAGCTCATGTGTAGAAGACGAGGTTTCGAAAGTCTTCCGCCTTTCATCTTCAGGTAAAGACTGAAGACTTTTAAAACGTCGTCCACTACACTTGAGCTACATAAGTAGATTGTATAGTCACCAATACATTTTATACAAGTGTTTCTTTTATAGATAGTTGCCATCTCACTATGAATATTCATGGGGTTTCGTCTTAACCTGAAAAAAATGACACAATCATTAAAAAAAGCAAACTAATTTTTTTAGAAGCAATGTTATTTTTAGTATAAAAGAAGTAAGACAACGAAGCTGAAGTCATAAATGCAGTGCAAAGATTTGATTATTACTATAAACGGCTTACAAATATCCAATGAATGATAAATAATTCCTATCTTTCTCAGCAGAGAATTAAAACAATCTTGAGTTTTATTTTGTTGTTATTATTTATCTTAAACAATTTGGGTGTACTATTAAAGATGGCAAAATTCAACCAAACTTTTTACATGGTTGTTGTTAAAAATACATTCGGAGTACGTTTGGTTCGCTATTCAACAAAATGTTTGAAAAAAAATTATGAATTATGAATATAAGTTGATATTCATTTATGAAGCTCCCCAGTGGCACAGCGGTATGTCTGCGGGTTTACAACGCTAAAAACTTGTTTTCGATACCCGTGGTTGGCAGAGCTCAAATAGCCCATTGTGCAGCTTTGTGCTTAATTACAAACAAACAATAATCCCAATTTATAAACACGATATCGGAAAATGAAAACAATTTATTATACATAGATGCATAAATATGCTCAGAAAGTATTTATAAAATGGAACTGCGATAGTCCCCATGATAGTATTGTCATCGCTGGACAAACTAAGATACAGTCGATGGAAGCCTGGAGCACGATCCAGCATGGACTGGAGTACTAGTTGTGCGGATGCTCTTGGATGAGCCACTACTTGCGAGTAGTTTGTCATATTATAGGGTGTGTTCATAGTTGAGAAATTGTAATATATTTTGTTACATTATAAGGATAACTATACCGCCAGTATTAAGATACGACAAAGAACAAATTAACAATACTACATGTAGCAACTTTCTCTTACAGACTTCTGTTACGCATAATCATAGCTCTGACTGTATTAAAATGTATTCAGTGAAAAATTCTACATTTATGTTGTAAAGCATACAGTCACTTCAATGATATATAAATGATAGTGAACGTAAACATATATTTAATGTATCTTAAACACATTTTTCTTGCTTTAATTTGTAGTATATAGGGTAATATTAATGCTTTTAATGTTTGTTTTGTTTTTAATTATGCATAAAGCTACACAAGGGCTATCTGTGCTCTGCCCACCACGGGTATCGAAACCCGGTTTCTAGCGTTGTAAGTCCGCAGACATACCGCTGTGCCACTGGGGGGGCTGTTTGTAATGAAAATGTATCATTGGATAGTGATACAATGTTAGTAGTTCGACAAGGAATAGAACGTATTAACATATAAATATATCTATAATTATGTGAGAGAGTAAACTTACTACATGTTCTCGTAAATCAGTGAAGTGAAATATAGTGTGTTTACAAAGGAAGACCGGTGTAATTACCACGTGTTTTTTTAAAAGCAAACCAATTAAATACAAATATGTATGGTACGAGTTTGTGTTTATTTGTAGTTAAGCACAAAACTATCCAATGGGCTATCTGTGGGTATCGAAACCCGGTTTTTAGAGTTGTAAGTCCACAAACATACTGCTGTGCCACTGGGTGGCTTATGATGAAGTAAACTTATATTGTATATAAGTGTACTTCATCTAATGAGAATTTAAGTAGAGTTAATACTAATTCAAAACAAAATATGGAACAACGTTATGTAAATATTGACATTTCTAACAGAAATCAAAACATTTTAGGATATAACATATTATAATATCAGAACACAAAAATCACAAAGTTACAAATCACTTAAAAACATAATCCTAGCTCAACCGCTAAGTAATGAATAAGTATATTCATGTTTTCGTATATATTTTCATAAGACTGGAAACTATTGGGACTTGAAATCAAGAAACAGAATGCTCACTTGAAATTTAAAGAACGAGATAGGTGTTCCAGTACTTTTGCCATTGGTCCACTTATCTTAATCTCGTCACCAAGGTCACGTGTCACTTGTATAAATGGAAACCACTAAAATACACGTAGAAAACGGAGCGGATTCAGTATTTTGATTATGTGGAGTTTACCATAAATTAATATAACTTCCTTATAATGTTTACAAGTCTATACTTACCCCTTCGACTGCAACACGTAGATTGGTCCACCGAGAGGAACGCATTGAGGTTAGGAAACACGACTCCAAGGGTATCTAGAAAAATCATAATTATCATAATGTTGCTTTTTCTTCATATCCTCAATCACACTTTCTGTATACTGCTTGTATAAAGGGAATATTTATTCTAATTTACTACGCATGTCATTTGATTCTGAAGAATCAAGCGATGTATCAAAACTTTTGTAACTACTTATAGGGTCTCGTCGAATAACTGAGCAATTTAAGATAGATCAAAGTAAAACCTTACAAGGACTTTCAATATAAGTATGACGTAATAGCTTAATAATTTTAATCAAAGTACCATTTCCGCACAAATAGATATTATATAGTAAGTCTTCTTTGATTACTTGAAGACAGCCTGCGAAATTTGACTGAAACATTCTCAAAAAATATCAAACCTCAGGAACCACAAAAGCGTAATAATATCTAAAATATAAACCTTCATAGAATACAATGATTGTTGTTTCGTAGGAAAATTATAAAAATGTGGTAGTGGAAATTGTCTTACACAGCGCATAGTTTCATCTAAAAAGAAAGTTATATATCATCCCAGTCAATATTTTAATGTTTTGCAGAGAACAAAGTAAGGATCTAAAACTGAACAATGTATGTAATTAAAATGATATTTTTTACAAACTTGTGATTTGAAACTCGGAATGCTATAATTAAAATAAATGTGAAGAAAAAAAAAAGTCTGCAGTTTAACATGATTTTAACGTATTGGTTTTCCGTTCTTTGCCAGCCGTAATATTAATGGTTTAAACTGCATATATAAATATCATTTCGGATAGACTTTAGATGCTGGCCCGTCAGTTTCCTTTAATGAAACGACATATAAAAAATAGGCTTTAGATTCATGTACTCCACATTCACATCATACTTGCTACATCTCCTGGCCGAAGAGAGGGTTTACTTTTTTGGTGGCTCGCCAGCCCCTTGCAGGAATGAAATTATCAAAAAAAATCTGACTTTAGATTGTCATTGTCTAGCCCTGCTGAGAAGCTCTAGTGAAGTCAGTAGCTTGTGATAGGCAAAATATTAATCTGGAATGCTCTTTTTAGCGTCTCTAATTTGAAATCTGTAAATAAGTATCTAAGAACAATGTGGGGAAAAAACATTTCCAGCTAAGTGTGTTTTTTTTTCTCTAAATATTAGTCTTAATAGTTTACATTTATTCTCCAGTTTTTGGCTTTTAACACCGCATTAAGACATCAAGTTTGGAAAGACGAAGTACAAGAGTGAAGCCATTGAAAACTGACCGAGAACTCAGTGGTATAGCGATATGTCTGCGGACTTACAATACTAGAAACCGGGTTTCGATACCTGTAGTGGGCAGAGCACAGATAGCCCATTGTGTAGCTTTGTGCTTAATTACAAACAGACTTATCATTTGTACATTCAAAACATGCCTATATCTTTTAATGCCATATCTAGTCTGATTATTTGGTCAGATGAGTGGAGTGTAATTTTCAGTGTAACAGCTTCTCAGTCTCATGATTTACTTTCTTATGACGTCACAAATACAGCACTTCTTTGTTTTTTGTTGTTCATTCACACGGTATAACTGGTGTTTTTAAAAACTTTTTCTTGACTTTTAATAAAGCGCTCCAATTGTTTTTTATTCCAGCCACCTTGCTCGTAATTGAACACATTTAGTATCTCTCTTAGAGTTATTTCTAAAACGAAATGGCCTCCTCCGTCGACTGAGATTTATCTTTTAATATCATATCTACGAAGATCATTAGAATCTTGCTGGTGAGTTTTCCTTTCTGTTATCTTCTTCTGTAGAACAAAATCCATTTGAAACGTCCAGAAAGATGAAATGTAAGAGTTGTTACAAAATCGTTTAGGCTATACTATTTGTATATATAGTACAGAAATTGACTAATTAAGCTACTGAAGCAAATTTGTGGCCAATTTATATATATGTTGAATTTTACCACACTTTGAATATAGATAAGATATTGAAGACATTTCTACATTACAAGATGCAGGAAAAATATCAAATAAAACCATTTTGTGAAATGCAGAGAACAGGGTTATTCTGACATGCAGATTATCGAGGGCACTGGTCTTCCACATAATGTTTGTTTGTTTATTTAATTAGCATAAAGCTTCACGATGGACTATCTGTGCACTTCTCACCACAGGTATCTAAACCTCATTTGTAGCATTACAAGCCCCCAGTCAATGGAGATAGAACGGTCAAAGATAGGAATTCAAAAAGGTTGTGCAGCGGAACCGACGAGGATGTCAAAGGTCAACAGCTTATTTTCATCAGGAAACGACTGAAAAAGAGTCACTGATATACTCGTTCAAGAAATAATTTTTGAAAGATAAATATTAAATGAAGTGATGTGTAAATTAATTTTTATAACTTCAGAAGGAACATGAACAACTTATTTTATGAACTATAACCTTTAACCAATATAAAAAGATAGAGGCTTTCCCACTTTAGACCCTGAACATGAATCTTTTTTTCTTCCCTTTGGCTAAACAAACGAACAGTGGGAAGAAAAAAACCCATAAATTTTTAAATTATAGAACTGTATTTCTTCGCACTTTGGCGGACAAAATCCTTGGATCTAAATACTGAAGCTTAGGATTGTTTAAATATACGTATGTAATGACGTTCAAATAAAAGTGTGAATTTTTAACCTGGACGATTCATTATATATATATGCATTTGGGTTAAACGGCCATGTTAGAGACACCTAGGATTTAAAGCATTGGAGAGAGAGAAAAGGCAGTTAGATAAGAACACCGCTACCACAAGGTCTTTGTCTGATTCTTTGAACCGAATAACGGGATTGACTGCCACTTTTATAACACGAAGCCGTGTTCTGTGGTATCAATTCTTGAACCTCAGACTCTTTAAGGGCAGTTCGATACTCTAACCAATAGGTTACGCTCGATCCACAATGAAATATTATAAAAACATTCTGTAATATAAATAAATGTTTCACTATCTCAGAATTATAAAGTTTATGGCAGATAATAACAAATAACTTCTTAGAAAGTTGTTTTTAAGTAGATTAAGTTTTCACCATATAGATGAAGAAAAGAAAAACTAACTTAAAACCAAGATTTATAATTACCAGATTTTTGTCAAGTCAAGCTGACTACAATAATGTAACTTTTAAAAAATCTTATGACAAACGCAGATGTATTGGCATAGGAAGCGAAGAGGGGTAGTCTGAGTGCAAGATTAATAACTCTAGGCTTCAAATATTCTTAACACGAAAACGTGAAATAAAAACTAAAGGCAGATTTTAAAAGGTTGAATATACGAAAAGGTTTGTCTGGTTTGTTTTGAACTTCGCGCAAAGCTACACGAGGGTTATCTGCACTAGTTGTCCCTAATTTAGCAGTGTAAGACTAAAAGGAAGGCAGCTAGTCATCACCACCCACCGCCAACTCCTAGGCTACCTTTTTACCAACGAATAGTGGGATTGATAGTCAGATTATAACGCCCCCACAGCTGAAAGGGCGAGCATGTTTGGTGTGACGGAGATATACGAAAAGACAGACGTAAAAAAGGAAAGTTTGAGCAAAATAATATTTGTGAATAACAAAGAAAAGACTAGAGTTTGTTTGTTTTACGGCAAAACTATACAATAAGCTATCTACGCTCTGTCCACCACATGGAATCGAACTCCGGATTTTAGCGGTGTAAGTCCATAAAATTACCGTTTACCCACTGAGGGGGACCGAAACGCTCCCATAAAAAATCGAGGGTTGTGCCAAAATTAGATGAAATAAGAAAATATATAAGTTAATGATAAACAGAGACAAAAAGTTAATACTAGAAAGAACCAGAAATGTTTAGAGAAACACTTAAAAAAGAGTGAGAGTTGTAAATTTAAAAGGTGTAAATAATGATATTATAAATTAAGAAACACATGAAACATATATAGTTGAAAAACGTAAAGATACTCATAAAAACAACGAGGAAATAAGATATATACAAAAGAAAAAACAAATTTAATGTTAATCTAAATTAAACGTAATTATCACTGACCAAAAAAAGTATAAATTTTTGCATGTTATAATTACCACTGCTGAAATCAACCAATTTTGACAAAAAACTCTAGAATTTTGTTATATTTATATTCTGTAGAGCCTCGAAGTTTTAATGGAGTATATTTTGATTCTATCATTTTCTTCTTACAAGACCTCAAATTACAAAATGTCAAGTTATGTATTTGGTTTCAACTTACCCAGCTTATATTTCAAAGTTTCTGTCAGAATACAAATGTTCACGGTGTACATTGTTCGCTTTTATAAGATTTGGATTTTTATCCCTTTTCTGTCATGATGTACGTAATTGCATTTTGTAACGATTAAAACTGAAGGACAATTACTATTGGATTGTTCTGATCACGTGACGTTTTCGTATGCTAAAAACTTACGAGCCAATATAATATTTTTACTTGTTTAAAAAATACAGGATTGCAATGTTTACTTTATTTAGTGATTTTTTGCTAAATCATTCTAACTAGTATAATAAGCAATTACAGAAAATTTCTAAAAGTAAAGTTTTACAGTCAAACATTTAGAACACAAATGATAGATGTACCAACCATATCCAAACGCAGACGTTCGTGATTTTAGCTTAATCAAATATTGAAAGTATGTTATATTAATATTAAAGTCTAGGTACCATCTGTGGAACAGATATGAAACAAAAAACAAAAACGACGGTTAAGTAAGTAACTGAATACATCTTGAAACGTACCGAATGAAATAAATTAAACATCACATTTAACAAGAGAGAGAGAGAAATAACGTTTTGTTTAAAATAAACAATCGTTGCGGTGATTGATATTATACATACAGGATAATTTATAAATAATATCACCTTAAAATGATTAAATCTTAAAAACTTACTTGTCTCAGAGTAGCTAAACCTTACTAGAGTCAGAGTGAGAATCATGGTTGTATTCAGGAAAGTTTGGACATGGTACAAAACAATATGATAATACTTGAATAGCTTTTTGTCACTGATTATTTGAATAAAATGCCTGTCAGTCTGCTAGAAAATCAACAAACACTGTCGAAAATATATGGTGTTTGCACTAGTTTCATTCTGGAATAGGTTTGATATACTGTGATTGAGAATGACAAAAACATATTTAACCCCTCAGGTACTGTAGTGTTTGAAACACTTAGTATAAAATGTTATTAAGTAAAAATTATGGTTCTCATTGTGGCTCTAGTGAAACAACACTTGTAAGTTTCAATTAGAATAACACAGACAGAAATTACTAGTAAAATAAACAATACACTATGATCTCCTGGGACCACTAAATGTTATTTAATCAGACTTCAAAAAGGAATAAGGTAGGATGTTGTGTAGGAGGAAGATGTACTGGGAATATAAGTTGTTAACGACGTAATTTTCTTTGTTTTGTTTTCCTTTTAACGATTAGTTAACGAATTCAATAAATTAACTCGAGATATTTAAAAAATATATGAAGTTGAATATCACATTGTGTTTTGGGGAAGATATTTAAAACATATAAGAAACTGTCACAGGACCGTCATTGATTAATTCCAGACAAATACACTGTCATAAGAACATCACTGGTCTATTACAGACAAAGACACTGTCATAGGAACCTCATTGGTTTATTCCAGACAAAGATACTGCCGTAAGAACCTCCTTACTTATTCCAGACAAAGACACTGTCATATGAACCCAATGGTAAATTACAGACAAAGGCACTGTCATAGTAACCTCATTGGTTTATTCCAGACAAAAATACTGCCGTAGCAACCTCACTGGTTTATTCCAGACAAAGACACTGTCATAGGAAATTATCTTCATTGGTTAAAATCAAAGTCCTGATATATAACAAAGTACTAATAATGATGCTTGAAGTGGAGATTTCAAAAAGCTTATTAAAATAAACATTACAATAAGTTAGACAAACAATTCATCACCTTCAAAATTTCAACGAAAGGTTAACTTTGAAACTGCATTTTAATGATTTATTTATTTGTTATCAAGAGCACATCTACACAGGACACCTGTGTTATACTCACTACGGTTATCGAAACTCGATTTTTAGCGTTATAAGCCCTTAGACTTACCGGATTTTATAACAATTTCGATAATAAAAATTTAAACTTGAAACCCTTTTGAAAATATATTTTATACTATTGTCAAATAGAAAAATAAAAAAAGATGAGAAGGTGGGTCCGCGTAATCAGAGCCCCCTGGATACACTACTGAATGGGTTTACTACAGAGTTCTGAATACTATAGCAATCAATATATATAAATCAAAAATTTTGAAACATAAAAAAAATGGCAGGAGTATTCAAGATAAAACATTACTTTTCACGTTAACTTTCCTAGTCTGGTGTTCTCAGGTAAGACTGATTTCCGCACAAGAATTGGATAGATCTGCTTGATAACAGTAGAATCGAACAGAAAGTATGAGGAGTAATTGCTTCTGAAAACTTGCCTGAAATTTAAGCTGTTATGAAAAAATAAGGAGACCAGACAAGTTTGCTAACAAATTATAACAATAATTTTATTCACTGACAAAAGTAAAAATAAAACACGGTGTGCATACTTACAAAGACGCTTATACAATCATTTCTGTAGGTCTGGCGTGTCGGTCGGAAATTTCTTTCTCTCAAGACTGGGTTTCGTCGAGATTGCGAAAGTAGAAATGAGAGAGATCTAAAGTGATGAGATTGCGAATACACTTTAGGCGATGGCATCACCACATAATTGGTCATTCTATTAAAGCATTCGTCAGCTGTAACATACAGATGTTATCCACTCGACCAGCAAAGGATATCACATTCGTTGACTCTTTCAATATGGATGTGTGATGTTACCGCAATACCTGCTTCGATAGAGTAGATATTATCTACTTTAGACAACAATGGCACAATAGCAACTAGAACGAAACAACTTTAACAGTTTTCTGGATAACGCGGTTCTGCCAAATTTGTATAAAAGCTAACTAAACAAGTTTTTAAAACGTTTTATATTAATAAAAGCAGGTACAAAACATATAATATGTCTGCATATCGCAATATGTTTGTTTGTTGTTAAGCACAAAAACTACACAATGCTGTGCCCACCAGGGTATCGAAACCCGGTTTTTAGCGTTATACGCCTTCATACTTATCGACGAACCAATTGGGTTATCACAATAGGAATGATCCGATCGAGGCTCAGTGGTCAGCATGCCAAATTGTGAATCTGAGGTTTTATAGTTCGCACTCCATCACCGCACTTTGGAACCATGGGTGCGTTATAAGTGTAACGATTAAACCCCATTACTCGATTAGAGTAGCCCACGAGTGAGTGAGTGGTGTTGACTAGCTGCCTTACCTCTAGTTTATCATTTCAAAATTAGGAACGCATATATAGCCCTCGAGCGATTTTCCTTAAAATTCAATAAACAAATTTAGGGGAAATACACATAAAGCCATATATGATTAAACCATTTTCAACATGCGTTATCAAATAATACAAACACTTTGAAAACACCTCAATTGAATAAAACACTTATTAAGTGAATCTCAAAGTACAGTCGTGAGTCTTTATTTCAATTTTTCATTGTTTAGTAGTTATACAAAATTGACAAGTGTTTGTTTTACCAGTGGAAATAACAATTAGAGGTTCGAAACTTTTTGTTACTTCTTTCCCTGTTTGTTTTATTCTTCTTTTTTCAATATATAAAAAGTTATTTTTTTTGTAGAAATTATGCAATGAACTATCGTTCTCTTATAGTCTTAACTATAGCTAACTTTACGAAATCCTAAGGAAACGTAAACCAATAAATCTTCAGTCTACTTTATGAATTCACTGATTGGTTGAACTTTACATAATTATCTAGTATGAGATCGAAACACGTGGTCGAGGAAGTGATTTCTCGTCGCACAAATAAAATAGAACATGGTACAGAAGTCTGAAACAAAACTTGAATATGTTTTATATCACCACTTTAACTTCAACCTAGAAGAAAGCAAATACCAATACAAAACTTAAGGTAGGTGTTCAAGAGCTCTGAATTATATTTTAGCGGTTCTCAAACTTTAGTAGCCTGAGGACCCCCTTTTAATTTAAAAATCCCCCCCCCCAAGCCTCTCGATTTTTTATTTTTTTGTTTTGGAAAAATATTTTACGTACATGAAAATATGTATTCCAAAATTAGATGTTCTAATTCATATAAATTTAATGTCACAAATTTTTTTTCTATAAATCATATTTTTTTATTATTTTTATGCAATTTCGGACATGACTCGCGGAGAAACGTTGTTATATATGAAAAAAGTAATTTCTGAAGGGACATACATATACAAATATATATCGATAATTAACTTAAACCGACACAACTACTACAAAATAACGAAATATATTTCCAAAAAATGTGACGAAAGGGTTAAGAAGTCATGAACACTATATCATATTTACTATAAATGGCATTCACACAGCTCTTTTGGTGGTAAACTTGAATCATATTATGCATAGGTGGCGCTGTGCTCCAGTATTGTATTGTAAATAAGTAATAATAATTTACTTTCTAAGATCTCGAATTTCAATTTTAACAGAAAAAAAGTATTAACTACTGTTTCCAAGTTAATACTATGTAATCCATGAAAATAGTAATGACATAAAATTATAATGAGCTTCTGATATGTTACTTAGTTTTATAACAAAACTGACCAGTTCCTTCTTAGATGATATAAATAATGAATCTATATCAAAAATTAAGTAACTTCACTTGATTAAAAATCGTTTTTAAAATGCTTATATTACCGACAAAAATATACAAATAGAGACAACTGGCGATTACAGTCAAAGCTCTTTTCCATCTTTTAATCTGATGAGCCGGAAACGAAGGTTTTTAAACGTGCATAGTAAATATAAACAAATATATTGGATAATGTATGTAATTATACGCTACATTCAAATTGAAACAAGAAAATATAGCACAATCGTTTCGGGTTGAAGGTAAACTTAAAACCAGTATAAATATCGATTTCATAAATAACAATGTGCACTTTATTATGCACATTACGGCGATTACCAGTTAGAGTTTGTTCACTAATAAAAATAAGTTCTATTCACTTCTTTTATAATATTAATAATGATATTTTATTGGTCATTAAATATTATAAACTTAAGTATAACTATGTTTTTGCGAAACTAATCGGAATCGGATTGAAATTGTTTGTTCTAGATGGATAAACTGGCATCGATGTTACGTACTGCCACCAGGAATCGCTTAAACGACAAAACGTAACTTTTTATAACAACAGCAATGTCTAATCCTAATGTTTTAGAAACAGTTGTGATACACATTAATATCCATTACATCAGAACAAAATAAATCCTTAACGTTTCAGTGATTTCAAAGAATAGACGTTTCTTCCCTCGTGTAGCTTTGCGCGAAATTTAAACCGTTGTCAGCCTTTTATGTGTGTAACAAAACAAAATAGGTGAAAATGGTTTATGTTTATAGTTATTTAAAGATCAAACGTATACAAAAGAGTAAATAACAAGCCATTATGAGGTAAATTAAAGACTGCAAATATCACGTCTTTAGAGTTACTTTTTGTATTTTCTTTTCCATTTGTATGGCGCTGCAGTAGTGAAAAAACCCACAAAAACTCAGTTATATTTTGTAAGGCTTATAAATATTTATATGTACAGTAAATATCATAACATGAACAATTCTTCGAAAAATCTAGAATATTTTAGAAACGAAATATCGATGCTTGGTAATGTTAATTTGAAATTTTAAACATATTTTTAACCTCTTGTCTATAGATTTGTGTAATTGCAATTGGAGGACACAATAGAAAATGCTTACTTTTTTATGCAATTCGACGTGCAATAGCGTCTTCAGGTACCTTCCATAAAAGTTCACGAGACAATTATTCTAACCAAATACTTAATAACTCAATTATTTTATAATTTAGAAATCCGCAGTAGTATCGGCTGGAAATAATATTTTAGAATGCAGACTATAATCGTTCGAACTGCAAACATTAATAACTGTTTTTGTGCTAGTTACCTGTATGTAAGATGTATTTTTGTTTTTCAGGGCCGAGCGCACAACAGATTACAGGTTCGTGCCCCGTTAGTGCGTTATAAGAGTGACAGTAAAGTCCCACTGTTTGATTAGAGTAGCCACGAGGTGACGGTGAGTGGCGTTAACTAGTTGCCTTTCCTCTAGTCTATCACTTAAGAATGCCCGGCATGGCTAGGTAGTTAGAGCGCTTGACTCGCAACTCGCGTTAAGTAAAGTTTCAAAAGAAAAGATGAGGTCCGGCAGTTATATGTGAACAAAAATCAACTGTACGAAAACAGCTAAAAAAGTTGAAAACAGAAACGTGAAAATCAAGGGTATAATTACATTGAGTTGTACTAAAGATACTTTCAGTAACCAGAGACAGTGTTATTATAGATTTGGTGAAAGCAGTAGCTTGTATAGTTAAAGAGACTCATGTGACACAAAGAGCGTAGGAAGCAAATTATAATATAATAATATTCACAAATTATAATATAATAATATTCACAAATTATAGTATAATAATATCTTTTTAATTTTTTTTCAGTTAGTATAATTTCATTGTATTTCACAAATTTAATCTGTAAGTTTGAAGAGTCTGATTTGAAATTTATGGTAAGTAAATAAATTATCGAGAAAGGTCATAGTAGTGGAGATGCGGTTCTGATTGAAAATTATTTAGTAGATGAAGTAAAACGTATTGTTACAGGTTATTAAGACCAAATATGGTATCAATAAGACCATACAGAGAAAAATTACTTCTCTCTGCTAATTCTCCCCGATTTAATGAGCTTTTTGCATATCTCCAATAAAAAATTATAAGGTTTCAAGAACAAGAAAATTATAATACCTCTTGGATTTAATAATTGAGTAGATTGTCCAATAGAATTAATAAATGAAAACCAAGGTATTTTTAGAAGATTCGATTGGTTTGGTTTAAATTTCGCGCAAAGCTACACGAGAGCTATCTGCGCTAACCGTCCCTAATTTAGCAGTGTAAGACTATGGGGAAGGCAGCTAGTCATCACCACCCACCGCCAACTCCTGGGCTACTCTTTTACCAACGAATAGTGGGATTGACCGTCACATTATAACGCCCCCACGGCTGAAAGGGCGAGCATGTTTGGTGGGACGGGGATTCAAACCCGCGACCCTCAGATTGCGAGTCGAGCACCCTAACACCTGGTCATGCCGGGCCTAGAAGGTTCGAGTCATGCAGATAGAATAAGAGTCGGTCATAGTAGATATATTATTCAGTTGGATTATGATTGTGATTTAAATATAGTACATTATGCAAGAGTTAATAAGAAAAAAAGGTGGAAACTTTTCTTTCTCTGAAGAACAAATAAAAAAATTCTGAACTGTGTATTGTTGTTTGATTATTCACATGAATTATTATTACAACAAGATACATTTCTGATATAAACTACCTCCTTCTAACCACGGAGTAATAATATTCTCTATTATTTTGTTTGTAATTAAGCACAAAGCTACACAATGCTCTGCCCACCACGGGTATCGAAACCCGGATTCCAGCGTTGTAAGTCCGCAGACATGCCGCTGTGCTACTGGGGGCATTCTTCTATTAAAGGATATATTTATGATAT